AACTTTTGAAATGAACTGAAATGTCATTGGTTAAAAATACACACAGACACCTGTGTTCCTCCCTTCGCCAACTTTTAAGTGTTGCCTCTCGTGTCATTCTTACTCTGCTCAGCTTCCAACCTTTTTACACAGTGCTCACCAGCAAGGGTGCCTGAAAGTCAAGGCCAAATGACACTGAACAGCGCAGGAGAGGCAGGGCCCCTCTGCAGCATGACATGCTGTTATTTTACACCAAGCTGGATGGCACAGGGATCCTGGAATGAGTGGGACCCGGTTCCCACCCACAGGAGGGCACAGTAGAATAGCGGAATGACACAATAATTATAAGGAAACATGGAAGCTGGGAAGCACCCACAGGTTAGGCATAAAAATGCAAAGCGCGATTGGGAAAGAAAGAGTGATTCGCCTGAATTAGGATCGGGAAAGACTCTGGAGGACAGATTGTCTTTATACCCTTCCACGGTAGAGCCAGGGCTGAATTATCCCCAGTGCACACCCATAACTGATTTCACTTCTTAGGCTTGGAGAGGAAATGAATTGGTCTGGCATCGTGAAGATTTGTTCAGCCTTCTCTGAGTGTATCTCCTGACTCCTGGGGTAGGTGAGAAAAGGTCCCTATGGAGGGGCTCCTGAAGTCACCTTCAAGGCAGATGAAGAGCAGCCGTGGAGGCCCTTTGAAGCATGGCCCCTGGGCCTGGGATCTGGTGAGAAACCTCCTTCCCAGCTTTGCCATTGAAACCACAGATTTTAAATTTGGGCAGCGTTTCCAAGCTTTTGTTTCCCATCAATGGGCATAATAGTAATAACATAACTGTATGACCTTGTTCACAAGTTTGCTGTCAAGGTCAAATAAGACAAGCAAAGTACTTTGTAGATTCAGTATTTTACTAGTTAAGAAGAAGGGCTGGAGCCAAACAGCCTGGATTAAGTCCCTGCACCTCCCTCCGCTCCACGATGCACTTGTTGGGTGACCTTGGGAGTGTTATTTAATCTCCCCATAACTCAGTTTCTTCCTTTACAAATAAGGATGAGACTAGGACTATGGCCAGGCGAGATGGCTCAGGCCGTGATCCCAGCACTTTGGGAGGCTGAGGTGGGCGGATCACGAGGTCCTGAGACCAGCCTGGCCAGCATGGTGAAACCCCATCTCTACTAAAAATATGAAAATTAGTCAGGTGTGGCAGCAAGCGCTCGTAATCCCAGCTACTCAGCAGGCTGACGCAGGAGAATCGCTTGAATCTGGGAGGTGGAGGTTGCAGTGAGCTGAGACCGCACCAGTGCACTCCAGCCTGGGCAACAGAGCAAGACTCTGNAAAAAAAAAAAAAAAGAGCCATAAAAATGCCATCCCACTGATAAAGGTCTGGAGCAAGGGAGGCGTGCCTTGACCATCCTGGAAAAACGCCACCTCCATCCTACCCATACTTATCTCCTTGGCTGGCTTCTGGCCAAAGGCCCACCCTTAGTCTGATCATATTGCACTCAGAGCTTTGCCATGCATGTCCCTGTACTAAGGGGCTCTGGCTGGCTGGGGTTTGAAGGGGCAGCAGAGGATGCTGTTTACTGGCCTGAAATGTGGTACCAGTGTGGAGAGGGCAAGACAGGCTAGGTTAACCTCAGATGTAGGCTTCTTATTTTTATTTTTTGAGACACGGTCTTGCTCTGTTGCCCAGGCTTGAAAGTTCGAGTGCATCATAACTTACTGCAGCCTTGAACTCCAGGGCTCAAGCGATCCTCCTGCCGCAGCCTCTCAAGTAGCTGTGACTATAGGTGCGTGCCACCACGCACAGCTAATTAGAAAACATTTTCCAATAGAGATAGGGTCTCGCTATGCTGCTCAGGCTGGTCTCAAACTCCTGGGCTCAAGTGATTCTCCCGCCTTGGCCTCCCAAAGTGCTAGGATTACAGGCATGAGTCACTGGGACTGGCCAGATGTGGGCATTTTTCCTTTTGCGTGGAAGACTCAAGAATTGGATTCTAGGGCTGGGCACCGTGGCTCATGCCTATAGTCCCAGCACTTTGGGAGGCTGAGGCAGGTGGATCGCTTAAGACCAGGAGTTTATGACCAGCCTGGCCAACATGGCAAAACCCCATCTCTACTAAGAATACAAAAATGAGCCAGGCGTGGTGGCACACAACTGTAATCCCAGCTACTCGGGTGGCTGAGGCAGGAGAATCGCTTGAACCTAGGAGGCAGAGACTGAGTGAGCCAAGATCGCACCACTGCACTACAGCCTGGGTGACAAAGCAAGACCCTGTCTCAAAAAAAAAAAAAAAAAAAAAAAACTTGAAGGAAAAAAAAAAAAAAAAAAAAAAAGAAGGAGACTCGGACTTCCATAATATCATTATGAGGATTCAAATGAGTTAAATGTAAAGCACTCAGGCCAGGCATGGTGGCTCAGGCCTGTAATCCCAGCACTTCAGGAGGATGAGGCAGGAGGATTGCCTGAACCCAGGAGTTCAAGACAAGCTGGCCAACATAGTCAGACCCCACCTCTACAAAAAAATTAAACAAGTATCCAGGCGTGGTGGCATGTGCCTATAGTCCCAGCTACTCAGAGGCTGAATTACAAGGATTGCTTGAGCCTGGGAGGTTGCGGCTGCAGTGAGCTGTGATGGCACCAGTGCACTCCAGCCTGAGCAACACAGAGAGACCTTGTCTCAAATAAATAAATAAAGCACTCAGAAGAGAACCTAGTGCGTAGTTAGTATCATAGTATATAAATTGAGCCATCACTATTATTGTTGTAAAGTCCACACAGGATGATTATGATGATCACTTCTTAGATACAGAAGCAGAGTTCCGCTGTGTCTATATAGTAAGAAACGCTATAGGAAGCACTGAGTTGTGCCCTGAACTTCTAGTCCAGGCTTTAAAAAAGAGCCATAAAGGCCGGGCACAGTGGCTCA